AGTTGGCCACCTCAAGGTATCCGGCCAGACAGGGGTAGCGGCCCATTGGCTGGACGCCAGATAGAGAGCTTAGATATGGGGAGAGCAGTAGGCAGCGCTATGGGATGAGGCGCCCCGAGGTCCGATAACTCCAGCAATGATAGACGCAGGCGACTCACACGATCTGAGGGGTCAAATCCGAGCGAATCGGGCAAAGCGTGAACCAGCGGGGCAAGAACAGTGGGACGTGGGCGGTATGTGAGCATATGGAGTGAGCATCATGGGCAGAAGGCGAAGCAGGAGGCAGGCAGCGTCTGATGAATGGACGACGCCCACATGTGGGTACAATGCTCGAACCTGATTAGGAGATACAATGTTGCCGCGCTCAGCTGATAGTACAACTAGATCAAGTTTGCTAATTAAACAGACATTTACTATTTTGGATTTTGGACTAATCAGACGTCTTCAGTAGTGTGTACAAACATGACTACAGTCATGTTGCTTTTTTTCTTGCTTATGCTTTGATCAACTGTAATATGTCCCAAGGTACATTCATTTTCATAATGTCTTCTAGCCATGACACTACTACTTTGGGCAACGCAGGTAACACCTCAGAAAGGGCTCAAAGGTGGATATCAGCTCCAAGGAGCTGCACCAGATTCAGCACCATGAACACCACCTGATCACCTACAACATTCAGCAAAACCATGAGTATGCACAAGTTCCTCTTGCCTGTCAACTCTCATAAGAAAAATATCATACCCAAAAAATTTGAGTTGAACAGTAAGAGATGGCAAGTTCACACTGTTAAATAAAATAGATCTTGATGCAGGTATGAAGTAATATTGATAGTTTACCTGTGGCAGGAAAGCAAGATCTTGACGCTTTTTGTGCTCATGAGTGAGAATCAGGATGGCCCATATGCATTCCAGAGTTAGAATGAACAGTAAATAACTAGATGAATGTCTGGTAGTGAACACATAGACCATCATCAGAAACTAAGAATGCCCATCGGGTTAACTAGCTGGTACTGCTGGATACTCATGTATTGTTTTGAAAAGGAGAGACAGAAATAATGACTTTACAGAGCCCCTGCACCCTCTTGGAGCAAATTGACTTGAAGAATGACATTGCAGTTGTTGATATACTCATTTGGCGGTGCCTTTGTTCTTCTTGGCACTCGGAATCTAGTTTCAGATATATTACATTGTTTTGTTTGATTTATTGTAAGCATTACTATCCTAAAATAAATGATTCACTTGAGTTCATACGATACCACAGCATTATTCTCAGAGAATGGGAAATTCTTGTGTTGGATAGTGATCCTCAGATATGTTTACAAAAATAAGATTATGTGTAGACTTAAATACCATTAAATTATGGAAAACTACTTCTATTTATTTGCCAATACTTTAGCTTAGTTGTTCAGAGTTATCATTTATTAATTTGAACTATAAAGAAACAATTGAAAGAAAAAGGCTCACCGCAGGACTTCTCATCATGGCAGTAGTAATAAAGAGCAAATGAAAGTTTCACTCCCGATAGGGTATGTCACAAAGGGGGTAAGCCAAGAACAAGTATAGACAGCCTGCAACACCATAGTTGAAATTTAAGCTATGATCATGAATATACTTTTTTTCTTTTTTCTTTTTAAAGACACAGTAGGTGACAACTCACAGATGCAATACGTGATGAGTTCACTGCTCAAGAATTTTATGAACCCATTGATAAATGATAAGCTGGTATACTAGAAGACTGGCACCTGAAATGTAGGGAGGAAATTAAGCACCAGTTATAAAAGAAAAATGAAAGGAGAAATCCATATCAGTGTCTATACATGCACACGCACACGTACTGCAACAATCCAGCCTTCAAGATTCAGGAACAAATAAAATTCACCTATGAGCCAGAGGGCAGACGGATGGAATACCTGCCATAGCAAGAACCTGACCAATATCTTCAGTTGAGAAGCTAAAGGCCGCCATACTTCGATCGCTCACAGCCCACAAGGAAAGTATCTAGTATTGAAAGATGTACATTACAAGATGAAATTAAGTAGTTAAAGCAGTACTAGACAGACAAGATGTTTCAACTCATGAGGAATATAGGCTTACTGAAATATCATTTAAAATTTAAAACACCCCACTAGTAGCAATATACTAAGTAAGACAGGGATTCTGAGAGACTGATTTTTGTACCTCTACTCATGCTGTGTCATGAAGACTAAAAAAGCAGTAAGGTAGCATAGTTGATATCCAAGGCCTGTTCTGGAGCAAACTCTTCTTCTTGCGAGGTGGATCCCAATAACCCTCTTCTTATGACAATGCTTTTAAATATTTTGGTATCCATTTCGGGAACTTTATGTTTATGTATAGTCTCCTGTAATACAGTCACAATAATATTTGTAATAATAATAGCTTAACAGTGTCTTGAATGAAGTTAAGTAAATACTATTTATTGTTTTTGTCAGTGTAGCATAGAATACATGGCAAGCATATTTTTTACAAAAATGACACTAGTCCACTTCAGTAGTTGACATCTTGGGCAGAGCACTCATGCTGCATGTTATGTTTATTGTTTAGGAAAAAACTATAGCACACAAAGGCAAAATGTAACAGATACTAGTGTTAGTGTTTCCTAAAGGAAATTTAAATGATCAGAGCTTTTGTTAGGTTAAAGTGTTACATACCGGAAGCCATTCACAGCTTATGAGGACAATTGTAGCAAATGCTGATACACTTAGACAGGGTAAAAAAAAGATATGGAAATCTGCAAAATCCAATTAATTGAGCTATGATAATCTGCAATGTACCATTAATTCTAGCAATTTGTAATTCCTTAATAGACAATATGTGCTGTGCTTGAACGATTTACCTGCCAAAGACAGAATCTTTGGAAAATATGTGAGGATATTTCTCAGTTGACTGTGAAAAAGGATACTGCAGTAAGAAAATGAGATATTTTTCTTTCTTTTATTTTCTTTTTGAACTGGTACCTGTGAAAGGTAACCTCCAAGAGCTGGACCAACAATAAGACCCAAAACCCATGCCGTGTTTACCTGCAGTGATTGAAGTACACTCAGTTGGACAAATCTTCAAAAATGAGAGAGTTATGTGGGTAAACAGTAAAGAGCTTGGTTGATGAGATTACAATTGAGAGTCCAAGTGCCTGATGTTTGGTTTGACAAACTTCAACGCAATATGCCTGAAATGGTTAATAAATGTAACCTCTAATTTAGTATACTTCTTTTATAATTTTAAACACATGAGTTGCAATCTAGATGACTTTTATTGGAACTGGTAATTTAGAAGTACCTTTATTGGGGCAAGCAGGCCATTTAGAGCACCCAGCACAAGTCTTGTAGTAATTGCCATCCAATACGTTGTACTTAGACCAAATAGTGTGTTAAATATGACCCTACAGAACGCATGCATGTGGGTAGATGAAACTGAGTCTTTCTGCATCAATATAGAAATCCAAATCCTAGATGATCTGACACTTGGAATTTCTGTAATACATACACAGACAAGATTGAAAATGCGATGACAGGCTTCCGTCCAATACGGTCTGCGAGAGAATGCCCCAAAAATTGAAGAAAAGCCTCTGCCCACCATGTATGATGCAGCTACAATTAATTGGAAACAGTGGCATAAGTATTTCACCTTTTACTTTATTTTCTACAATATTTGTACTCCATTTTCGAACATATATTTGTCTAAAATTGTAAATCGATGATGAGGCGAAAAACCATACCAAGAAAAACCAGCATAAAATTCAATATCTTCCTCTGTTTTAGCAATGTGGAAGTCCCTTTACCTGTATGAAATTAAAAGTGGGAAAAGAGAGATCACTAATGAGCAATGAGCATAAGCTAGACAACATAATGATCCATTTAAGTTAATGATGGTATTAGGTTGAGTGACTTCAGACTGAGGAAACTGCTTGGCTGTGGAAATATAATATCCTCACAACAAAATGCACATGCATATGTTTGCAAAGACCCAAAGCCTAGCTAGACTGGAACACATTCAGTGTAGCATATAGTTCTACATTAATGACTAGGTAAGAGGATATGACATACCATGAAATACAGGAAGGGAAGAGGGCACGGATTGGCAAAGCTGAAAAAAGGCACAAAGGGGAAAAACAAAACTTTTGTCAGAGCCAGATCTGAGAACGCCGCAACGTTCTCTATCGATCGATCGATGGAGTAAAAAGTAGTAAAAGCACATGCAGGTAGGATGATGCAGAGATCAGAAAGGTAGGCAGGCATGTTCGTTATTAGTCTCAACGTGAACAAGCTGGCTAATGTTGGACGCTCTCACCACAAGATACCGAATAGTTGCTGCACAATCTTTTGTTTCAGAAATTCCTCTTCGTCTTCAGTAAAAGTAACACCATGGGCTCCTGTTGGGAGCCCTCATCCAGCTAGCTCCTGTGAGTCTGAGTCTAATATACATGCCTGAACGTGATATTGGATCTCAGGTGGAATATAATGCAGACAAGTTTTCTGACGGATTAATTAAGTATGCTGAGTTTCAGCCTTTGCTTTTTTCGCCATGAACAGCTATCTCACTGATGTTATCTCTGGGCAGACGCCATCCCTGCGCGCTTCTGCAGACAAGACAACACCAGCTGGGTGGTGACGATTGGTACAACACCGCACCAGTCCCAAATCCAGCCCGAGAAGACGGGCATATGGGCTCCACCCACTATGGGATGGGGTGCATGACCCCAGCCTTGACTTTCATGACCGGCCAGGCAAACAGAAGCCTCGACCTCACAATCTGGGGTCCAGGCCATCGGCATCACGACCGACGACCGGGAGCGGCTACCGCTTCCCGTGACCGCTACCACGACGCCA